GGAGGAGAGGGGGAGAGGGGGAGGAAGATGTCCAGTCTCTCAGGAGCAGAGGGCATTCAGGGTAGGAGGTGTGGGAGAAACATACACATCCAAAGTCTGCTAAGGACTTGCATAGAGTTAGCTGCTCGCTGAGGGGTGGGAGTGGTCATTTTGGAATACATCCAGCCTAGATGAAAATTGCTGGGAATATATACTCCAGTGGCCTTGGCAGGAAACACATTTTCATATTACAGTTCTTGAAAAGTTAATTTTCCTATTTTGCTCCATGAATGCTCCACTATGAAGACTGCTACATAAATAATTTATAGCCTATGAATATAGCCTAGTTGTGTTCAATTTATCTACTACTTATTATTTAACGTCTTTATGTCTCAGTTAATCCTATATTTATACAATTGGGGGGAAATTTCCAACTCATAGAGTTATTGTATATATACAAACTACTTGGCTAGAACCTAGTATGATTAATGAGCGGTTAATAAAAGGCCGGTTGGCATATTTCCCTTACCTTTATTTTCCTCCATATACTAAGGTTCTTAAAACCAGAATAAATTTTATAACTAATGTATACATTCAATGGGGGAGCTTTGTTTTTTCACTTCCCAGAGTAATTATTAAATCATCAGTGTGCCTCACAGCTCTTAACTTTATTTCCCCTCAGAGAAGACTGTAAATCCAGAGGTGGTATTGTATGTGCTAACCACTGCATTTTCAAATTATTAAAAAGTAAGTGCTCCGCGGGATGGCATGTCTCAGTGGTTGAGCATTGACCTATGAACCAGGCCACAGTTCAGCTCCCGGTCAGGGCACATGCTGGGTTGCTGGCTGGATCCCCAGTAGGGGGCGTGCCGGAGGCAGCCCATCAATGACTCTCATCATTGATGTTTTTATCTCTCTCTCCCTCTCTCTTCCTCTCTCTGAAATCAATAAAAACATAATTTTTAAAAAAGTAAGTGCTCAATAAATTTTTAAACAATAAATGACTGCATGATGCTCAAGGAACTAAGATATTGCTCCGAAGAGGCACGAAATCCCAATTAGTTTATAGAATCTTAACCTGCCTTGTTCAGAAAAGGTTTTAAGATGACTTACAAAGATAAAAATAAATGAAAAAGCACGTGAGACCGCTGAGAGGGAGAGGAATAAGAGACCCCCCAAAACAAAAAGACAAAAGAAAAACAAGGGTATGGGCTTAAAATGAATATGAACTTAAAATGAAGCCAGGAAAGAGCCACATACATAAAATTCTACAGAAACTGAAAGAAAAGACAATTCTCGAGGTTTAGAACATGTCAAGAAAACTTTCCTGGTGGAAGCAGGGTTTGCTATGAAGTATTTAAGTTGAAAGAAACTGGGGCTTCGGTGTCTCTGCAGCTGCCATCCTGTTTCAGAGTCTGGGGAGCAGGATGCTGAAGATGCCGAAGAGGGTGCCTCCCAAGCGCCTGGGTTCCTGGGAAGCCTCCCACACGCTGGATTTCACCAATTATCTCATTTTCATAATAAGTTCAGCACTTTCCCTAACTGCTTCACGTCCATCAACGGGTACAGGGGGAAGATAAGAACGTGCATCTTTTAAGGGAGGGAATTTCAGGTACAGTCTGTGAAGAGATGATTATTTTAAAATTAAAAATGAGGAGCTGGCCTTTGAACTCATGGCAAACAAGTGGGTTTTAGAAACTCTTTGGTACTGGGGGTGCACAGGTTTGTTTCTTGGTTTTTGGTTTTGATCCCTTTCTTTTTTTTTTTTTTTAAGTATGTTTTTATTGCTTTGAGAGAAGAAGGGAGAGACATCCTGATGAGAGAGATGGAGCCCACAATCCAGGCCCCTGCTCCGACCTGGAATCCAACCTAAACCTCTCGGCTCGTAGGTCAGTGCTCAGCCCCGAGCCTCGCCCGCAGGGCCCCTTCTTTTCCTTTCTGCCTCCTGAAGATCACTCCCAGAGCAGAGCGCCAGCTCCAAGGGGAAAGTCTTTCCTGGCTCTCACAAGCTCAGGTGCCAGGGGGCATGCTTCTCTCTCCTCTCCAGCACAGACGGCAAGAAAGGGGAATTTAGAAAATCAGTGAGGACGCTGCGCTTCTCAGGGGAAAGAGTTTAAATCTAAATTGCAAGTCACCCCCAGCCTTTAAAGTTTAGCTGCTCCGCCTGAGACTCTTTAACTGGAAGATGGGCTATTAACCCCTCCCTCACGGGGATGGCCTGCAGGAGATCCTACCGGATGGGCTCAGCCTGGTCCCGGCTCAGGGCTCGGGCGACAGGCAGGTTCCCGGGCCCACGACGCCACTCCACCTGGAAGCGGCCCGGGCAAGTGGCGCCCCAGGTGCGCCCTAAGTCGGGGAGACGCTGAGGCAACAGGGAAAGGAGTAAGTGGAGCGAGCTACTCCTCAGCGGCGGTGGGGGTCCGCCCAGTGGGCAGGCAGCCCCCCAGCAGCCCCCCAGCAGCGCGCGCGGGCCGACCC